ATACAAGGCTCCCCAACTTTTTTTTTTTCTGAAAAAAACCCCAAACTATTCCCAGGCCTGTTTTTTCTCCCCCCCCCCCCCCTTCTTTCATATTCTCCCACTTGAGAAAAGAAGTGAGAAAGTATTTGGAAAAGGGGGATGTTTTTTATGAAACCTAGAAAAGACTTTATCCTCCCCCTTCCCAATAAAATAAGATTATTTTCTCCTGAAGACTACAAGAAGAGTATTTTTTTTACAAGCTCTCATTAGCATTGAGATCTGGCCCATCTCTTCAGCACTTTGTGCTCTGGCTCATGCAATGAGGTTGCCTTGTGTGACAGAAAAGAATCTTTCACTGGCATACAGTGTACTTTATTCCCTTCCCCATAGTCACCTAACAAGATGAGTTTGGTCAACAAGTGTCAACACTCTGACAGCCGTAAGGGCTGCTGGATCCCCAAGTTTGTGACCTTTCAGGTGCCATCTACAGCAGCTTCCAAGCTGTGCAGTGTGAGAGAGGGTGAGTTGCTCCCTCCGCAGCTCCTGCATCCCCCAGACCACAGCAGGATGGAGCCACCTCCCTCCCTGCCTGTTACGTGATTCTTCCCCTACCCATATGTGGGGCTGGGGTTTACAAGAAGCCTATATGAGGTGATTATTGTTACAAGGCCATTTTTAGTCCTTGTTGTCTATGTGCTGTGTTTAGTTCCCATTGGTCATTCCATTCTTGCCAAAAAAATCTGGCACATATTTATCTTTATAGCAGGGTTTTAGGAAAAAAAAAAAAAGATGAAAAAGAAGGCCTGCATGTATGATCAGGACCATTGTAGTAAGATGATACTAGAGAAAAGTGCTTGCAGTGAATTTTGGAATGCTAAGAACTTTTGGGAAATTCTGAGGATATCTAATAAATTCCTCTGTGTACACAGGTCCTGCTAACAGAGCTCTATTAGCTAAATTTAAATGTGCTGCAATATAACAGTGAGTGTCAAAGGCAAGACACAGGTCTATGGTGAGCCCCCGCAGTAGGTATAATAGTTGATTTTTATTTATTGTATGTAGTGGTAATTTCCATCTTGTGCTTCCATAATATACAAGATAAGATACAATGGTACATTTAAAATTAATTATAAAAGGAAATAAAGACTGCTAGAAAAGTTATTACAATAGTAATAACCTCTTTTCAGTAGTAATAACTGGTCTTCTCAGACATGCAGGAGTGAATTTTAAAAGGTTTTAAAGATCTACATGAACTTACAGTGGTGGTAGAGATTACAAAGCAAGTCTTATATTACAGTTTCCAATTAAAGAACTGTAGGTTATAAAAGTAGGTATTTCACTTGTTAATATCATTGTAGGACTATTTTATGACCATTTAAAATGCTCTTGTTCAGCATGTATGTGTACCTGTGGCTTCAGTGCGGGTTGCTTGGTAGCAGAGCATGACACATAGGGACTTCACCAGTTCAGCTGAGCATATAGGAGGGGCTGAAGAAAAAACGGATTTTTAATGGTGAGGTGTTCACTGAATGAGCAGTTGAATCGAAAGTGGAAGAGAAACAGATTTATTTTAAGAATTTGTGAGACAGGGATCCAAAAAACTCACTAAAATTAACACTACATCTCCCTCTATTGGATGTAAAATGAAATGAAACATACAAACAAAAAATCATTAGCCTACCTTACTTTCCAGCAGCCCACAAATTTCATATAGCCTTTTATATAGGAATGGCGACCAATTATAGTAATTTTTGAAGCCAAAATTAATTTCTTTATAAAAGCTAGAGTTGATCTAAATTTGAAATTACTGCTTTCTTAGGTGTCAGATTCAAGTGGATCCATGAAGGTGTCCATGGTTGCAGAGGAAAACCCCTTCTCCATGGCTATGCTTTTGTCTGAGGAGTGCTTCATTTTGGATAATGGTGCTGCAAGGAAGATCTTTGTGTGGAAAGGTAGGAGATCACTTCTATTGCAAATGCAGAAGCTACATGGACATATCTAAGGAGTCAACACAACACCCTTGGGGCACTAGCAGGATTTAATACTGGCTGGACATAGTACCCTGCATACAGTTCTCGGTGCAGTCAGTGGACAAGGATTGCTCACTTAGGTAAGGGCCTCAAGACAGAGTCCTGTCTAAGGATCCTGGCTTTTTTTGAGGTAGCTGTAAGCTTCAGTGCTTAAATGCTTATCTAAGTGGCAATTACAAAGCAAATGTAAAGAATTCTACAAGTTCTGTATATATTGTCATCAAATGCCTATCTTCTGGGACAAAATCTGGACACTGAAGGTTTGATAATGGGTAGATATTATATTTCCATACATTGCTCCACAGAGGTGTGAAATTGAAAGGTGAGTGTCCCAGGCGTCAACTAAAAGCATAAGCTTGCAAATACTCTGATGCTTCTTTTTTTCTTGTGAATATTTCTCTGGTGTATCATCAATGCTTGTAGGAGTGTCTGCAATTGCTTTTACTGAACATTTCCCAGGAGAACACTACTACTGGGCAATTAGGTCTGGACACCTTGTAGCTGATTGTTGTGGTGCTGCCATTGCATCCAGTACTGAGTATCTCCCCTTTTTTGTCTGAGGCAGTGTATTAATTATTCTGTGGCGTTTGCATTTCTTTTTACCATGTGCAATAGCAAATAATTAACTGATGCAATTGCCAAATGCTGAAGTCAGTCCAGGAAGCATTGCAAGCATTTTGCTTGAAAGCTTCATTTGCAGTTAGAGAAACATCCTTTAAAAGAGAGCATTTGGGGAGCATTGTGCTCAGATGGCCTAAGGTCTACCTGAACCCCTGATTCCTGGTTTTCACTCTGTACCTGACAGCTCCTAGAAGAACTAAGCCAATAGGATCAAGCATAAAATAAGGAAAATAGAGTTTAGGCCCTTTGAATGTGGCCCTATGTGCTCCTCTGTGCATCCTCACTTTGCTACTCGTGGTAACAATAACGTGTGGAAAAAACCCATTTAGTCTGCGAGTCTCACCCTTGCACTGGGAGGCTGCAGTTATCATCTCTGCAGGAAATCTTCAGACCACTAAGCTGAGGAGTGTGAATTACTTTGCTAATAGTCTCATTCAAAATGGAATACAATGAATAACTTATCACAGCATCTTATCAGACTAAGAGGTCTTTGGAGTGTAGTCATTGACAGCCAGCTGGGACACAGACCTGATAGACAATATCATGCCACAGAGACTTTCAGAGATGTCTAACGCTGGGCAAGGCTGAACAAGGAGCAATGGATGGGGAAGGGTGGTGGTAAATTGCACAGCCCAGCCGGACGAAATGGGAGTTTCTTCCGTTCCGGCTGCAGCGCTGCCTGAAGAAGTGAAGGCAGTTCTGGACAGCAGCTTTGTTGACCATGTTGCAGCCCAGAAAGGGAGGATTCAGAGAAAAGAGCCAAGGTGTTCTTGTACCTTGAACCAAGCAGATATTATGAACAGCATTTTTTTGACAGAAACACATACAGTAAGCAAAAAAGAATGCCTCTTTCTTTTATTATTATTTTTATTTTAACTGTTTTCGAAGCCACTGAGGTACTGTTTTGGCCATTCGATTTTGTGTGAATCTTCTTGTTCATGCTATGTCCAGCACTTGTGTTCAAGACTGAGGCAAGAGCAATGTCAAAGAGAACCTGGCTAAAGGACATCTTGTTTTTGCAGGATCTGTGGGCTCATTGCCCTTTCCCATGTATTGTTATCCTTCTGTTTTATCCAGGCAAAGATGCTAACCCACAAGAGAGAAAAGCTGCCATGAAGAATGCTGAACAATTCATACAGCAGATGAATTATCCTGCCAACACACAGGTGCGATGAGATGATACCAGGAAAGCATGAGCTCTGTTAAAGACTTTGTTTTTAAATCCACAAAAAAGAATTTTAAGGGCTTATAAGACATAAGGACAATATTTCACTAACATACAATTCAGACAACTTTCTGTTTGAGTAGCTGTGTCAGTTTTGTTTTCCTTCCATTTCATGTGTCTTGCTTCATTTCAGATTCAAGTCCTTCCTGAAGGAGGTGAAACGCCAATTTTCAAACAATTTTTCAAAGACTGGAAGGATAAAGATCAAAGCGATGGCTTTGGCAAAGTATATGTCACAGAGAGAGTGGCTAAAATTGAGCCCATTGAATTTGATGCTACCAAGTTACACGAGTCTCCACAAATGGCTGCCCAGCATAACATGGTAGATGACGGTTCAGGGAAAGTAGAGGTAATTTTTGTGTTATATTAAATTGTATCCCACCTACCTGATGTATTCTGTTACTTGTAATGGATAGGCTGCTACTGTTATGTTTTGCCATTTACACTGTTGTGTAGAGTAACACTACCTTCGTGGCAGTGTTACTTCTATGATCAGAAAATGTACTTTGAAGTAGAAAGTGAACCTCTTTGTCAGCTGTATGTTGGGTCATTTTTTTTGGTGCTTATGAAAGATGTTGTACCAGTCATCAGTAGAAATCAAACAGCAGAAATATTTCCCCTTCTACACAGTACCTTTTAAAGATATAATTTACATATGATCCTTGGCCTAAAGAAGAACTTTTAGCTTGAAATCTGGAATAGGAAGACTTGCTCTTGGAGTCAGAAATTCATTCTGTGTCTTTATGAATGTATCCAATCTGCTTTCTAGAGGAACCTTCTTTGTCTCTAGTGTGTCTCTCAGGTAGCCTGGATTTGGAGAGGAAAAGATGAGTGTACAGTCTTTCTAGATCTATCCATATCCCACTGCAGGGATATCTTTGGACTACACAGGGCTGGTTGGGCACTGCACCAACACAGCCTGTTGAATACAGGTCTGCATGTTGGGATTCTGGAAGAAAAAGAAGGGATAAATACCTACAGTCTCATTGGTGTATTTTCTAGATTTCTAACCTCATACTTGAGAAGGTCTATTGGCTTGAGCCAAAGCAGCTTAGATCTGAAGCATTTTTTGCTGTATAATTTTAGCAGTATGTTTTTGGAGAGCAGTTGTTAACTGGGCTGTAGTGAATCAAACAGGAAGAAATCTGCCTAACAGTGTGTTATCTGACTGCAGTGTGCCTCTCCCAAATGATAGGATAGTTCTATGATGAATCATAACATTGAGCCATTCATGTCATATTGTTACCTTAAGATGTTGAGAAAGTAAGTTCAACATAGCATTATGAGGTGATCATGTGGCATCAAGACAAAGAAAACTGTACTGCAATGGCTTGTTGATGGTCATTATTCATTCATTCAGTGGGCACAGGGTGTATCTATCTACTTCATGAAGAATCCTTCCTGGTTTTATTCCGTAACACTTGGGAACAGAAACAAAGGTCACTCAAGGGATGACACAGTAAATTGCTTCTTGAAGAGTCTCAGGATGAAGTTCAGCATTCTCCAGTGATTTGTTTCCCCAGATCTGGCGTGTGGAAAGCAGTGGCAGAGTTCCTGTGGGACCTGAGACATACGGACAGTTCTACGGTGGTGACTGCTACATTATCCTCTACACTTACCCTAAAGGGCAGATTATCTACACATGGTATGTTTGGTCGGCTTTGCACAGACATCCAGCATGTGGATATTATTTTATGCTGACTTTATGTCCTTTTGAGTAGAACCATGCGTAAATGCAAGGTTGTTTACTGTGCATTTGTCATGCAGTATAAGCTCTTGATCATTCTGAAACCAGACTTAACCATTGTCTTTCTTCTTGTCTTCCTTAGGCAAGGAGCCCATACTACAAAAGATGAACTGACTGCATCTGCATTTCTGACTGTTCAGCTGGATCAGTTATTGAATGGTCAGGCTGTGCAAGTTAGTGTCTTTTGGATAAAATTCAACAGAGCATGCAGTATATGCAATTTCAATGAGAACTGAAAGGAGGAGGTAGCATTTGAAGACTGGGAAGATCGAGTGCTCATAGTCTGTATTGAGACAAGCACCATGGGCTCCTTTTAAAGTCACCAGAGATTTCCCATTTGATTCATCCTTTCTGAATGTAGATGTCCAAAAGAACACAGATCTAACACAACCTAAAACTGCCTTTCCTTTCCTTCCACTTTCACTGTCTAAAAATTAGGTTTTAGTCCTGCCTAGTCTTGCAGGTCAGTGGAGACCAAATGATAAGATCCTTCCAGGGCAACTCACCCTGAAGCAGGTGTCTGACAGGGCGATAGCCCTGTGTGACCTCCCCTGTCCTCTTTGACTACGGAGGAAACTGTGATGTTTAGCCCAGACAAGACACCTGACTTTTAGAGGGCCAGAACTGAGAGATATGAAAGCCACGTGACAGCCAGAACGGAGAGAGAGAGCCTGCCAGAACTGTGAGACAGGGTCTGGTTTGTCCCTACCTTAGTGAGGAAAGTAACTTGGGTTTTCCCATCCTGTAGTGCTTGCAGCTCCATGAAAGCAGGATACACATCCTCACTTGCAGAAATGGGGTGTGCAAGGCAAGGTGCAGGACATTGGCAGCTAGAAGGTGTGAGGAGATAAGCTAGTCCTAGCATGACTAGGATGTCTGCTCTCCTTTCATCACTAATGAGGAGCGGTGGGTAGATGGAGAGGTGAGAGGTCTCCTCTTTTCCCAGAAAAGCTAGAGCTGTAAAATGGCACGGGACAGACAGAGATTTTCTAGGCAGTAGGAGATAATTCTGTGATTCCCATTTCTTAATTACTAAAGGGCTTCCCCCACCCACCAAGGTACAGTTAATTTAGATGGCAGAGCATACTTTTTAGCCATTAATCAGTTATGATTTATGATTGAAATTATATTAAGGAAGGATTAGAACACTTCTAGGTAATTACTGCTTGAAATATTCCTAACACATGTTCTATATTTGGACAGAGTCCGGCACAATATGGTCCTGCCTCATACCTAAGGCCAATACTAATGTTACAGTAATAATAATATTACTACTAAAAACTGCAATAATAATGTGCTTAAAAAGTCTTTTTATTAAAGCTGAAGGAGATCCATTTGATCTGCAATGGATGTGATACTTAAAAGTACTTTTAGCCTGCAATGAATCTAGGAATATATGTGTGTATATATATATGTATGTGTATATACACACATATGTATACATGCATGTGTGCATTTGTATGCATGTACATGGCTACCTAGAATATATTGTCTGTACTTACGGTCTGTATTAGCATGATTTGAAAGGGTTTACAGGTACTATTTGTGGTCACTAGGTGGCACTACAGGACAAGGCACTGTTAAAGTGCCGCTCCCCTGTTTGTTTTGCAGGAATACGTTTCCGCCAGCAGATTTTTTTCTTCTGGGTTTGTTTTTGGGGGGAATTTGGGGGTTTTTTGTCTGTTTTTTTTTGTTTGTTTGTTTTGTTTTGTTTTTTCCATTTGTAAAATCCTGCCGCAGTTTGGCACCTACAAGTATACATGTCCTAGGGTATCCCTACCAGGCAACTGTACCAGTCTGTCCAGCGGTGAGATAGGCAAAAGCACCAGCCCCTGCTCCCCACACCACCGGCTGCCCCACGCCTCGCCGGGCTGGGGCTCTCCACTTCTCCTCCTCTGCTGGCTACACAGCATGCCTCATTCCCTTTCTTTCCCTTTCTTTCCGGGAGTGAAAGGCAAGGAGTCGCAGCCCTCCACCTTGGTGGGTGGTACTGTTATAAAGGAAGACTAAACGGTTGTATACAAATAACTTTTATGATACATTAACCTAAAAATAGTCGTTCGTCATAACACAGTGGTTTTTTGAGATTGCAGTAACATCTTTTGCATCTGTAATGGAAGTTAATTTTTGTCATCCGCGTTACCCTCCGCAAGATAGATGTATGCTCATCTTTTTCATCCTCTTGCAGATAAAATACACATAGAAATAATGAACAGGATGAATAACTGTTCTCTTCTGCCAAAATATAGGGCTCCTAAACTTCCAAGATAGTTTTTCAGGGGAATTAAGTCACTCTACAAAACTCTATGAAATGACAGTTCTTTTGAAAAAGAGTAATTTTCTTATTACAGTAGATAGCAGCCATTTTAATCAGCCAAACATTATGTTAGAAGTTTGAATCTTGTCTTTGTGTCAGCATGATTGACAAAAAATCTCACAAATGCTCAAACTTTAATGTGTCTGGAACTATATTTTTAGATCTTCTCAGCTTGCCACTTCTCATTCGTGCTAACATACTTAGCATTATTGGCTAACATCCCCGATGCTATTCAACAAAGACCAAAAATAACTACATGTGTCCTTTTGTTTCTTTTATTGCATTTCTTTACGTATGTACAGATCCGAGTCAGCCAAGGCAAAGAGCCTGCACATTTACTGAGCTTGTTCAAAAACAAACCACTTATTGTCTACAAGGATGGCACATCCAAGAAGGAAGGTCAGAAACCTGCTCCACCCACACGACTCTTCCAAATCCGCAGGAACCTGGCAGCCATTACTAGGATTGCGGAGGTAAGGTCACCTGCTAAGTAAACCAACTATTCCCCATGGGAAATGGTATAGCTGCCACGAGCCTCTCCGACTAATCTTGTTGGGTAGTCACATCTGGTAGGAACGCAGAACTCCAAATCAAATCCACTGCTCTATGTGACCAACCCATCTAATAAATCAAAGAGAATATGCTGTAACTGGCTGCAACCCATCTACATCTTTCAGAGGAAACTATAAGAAAATGTGTAGCAAACAGTCAGCTGACAAAGAATAGACAAGAAATCAGCAACCCTTACGAGACAGTCTTTCCTACTTTATGAGATAGTCTTTCCTGCTACCAAACAGTCCTAAGTTCTGCCCTTCAAGTCAGTTCCCTGTCTCAAGTCAAGTTCTTCTCTAATTTATATCAGTATAAATCTAGGAGTAAATTGAAGGAAAAAAGCATAGCTGATTAATATCTATCTACACATTTTATATGAACATGCAAAATAGTGATCACATTATTTGAAAATATGAAGAATAAAACAATTTTTTTTTGATCTAGGTCGATGTTGACGCAGTGTCACTAAATTCTAATGATGTCTTTGTTCTGAAACTGCCAAACAACTCTGGCTACACCTGGGTAGGAAAAGGAGCAAACAAAGAAGAGGAACAAGGAGCTCAATACATTGCCAGCGTTCTTAAATGCCAGACTGCTAAGATTAATGAAGGCCAGGAACCCGGTTAGTATGAGGCCACATGGTTGCTAATAGGCACCTGAGAATACACAGCACTGCATGGAAATACAGCCTAAATGGTTTCTGAGATCATATATTTTGTAGGCAGAAGCATATGCTCGCTCTCTCACTTTGAAAACCCAACCTCACCTTACCATGGAGATCCATCCAGAACTGGCTGATGCACAAGCAGTGTGATGCCCTGGATGTCTGTAGAACAGCAGCAGGAGCTGCAGAGGAGTGTGGTCCTTTCTTTACCCTGAGCGCCTAGGAGGGGAGAAAGACATAGCGCATTGCTCTTTCTAGGTCTGCAAGTGATATTTTTATTGTTATTTTGACAAACTGCAGGAAGAACTGTAAGAAAATGCACTCATCTTTGAGACAGCAAGATATTGTTTGGGGATTCTTGAAACAGTATCTAACAAGCTAAAACATCAAATGTTAAATCCACCTCTGAATAAATTATATATTGTATATTTCAGAGGAATTCTGGAAAGCACTTGGAGGCAAAAAAAAATATCAGACTTCATCACGACTCTTGACAAAGGCTGAAGATCATCCCCCTCGCCTGTTTGGTTGTTCTAATAAGACTGGCAGATTTATTGTGAGTATATGAGGGATACTTTCTTCTCTGTTTAATTATATTGTTTCTGGTATATTTTGCCTTGGGAATCGGCAGACATTAAATGAATTTGGGGATCTGGCTTAGTTAGCTGTGCTTGGCAAGAGCTAGGGAGTTGACGTTTGGTGCTTTAAATCAATCCAAAAGCGAAGGACAGACAGAAGAATTAATTCTGCAGAAATTTGCACGCAGAGCCTGCTCCAGCCTGGGACTAGAGGCTTGCAGATGCAAAAAGATAAGGTGTTTGTCCAGCCAAAAGCAAACGTGTTCTTGCAGAGCATTGCCAGATTGCTATCATTTCACTGAGGTCAGTGCTTTGCCCCATACGTGTTTGATAGTGGTGATGAGGAAAAGACATTTCCCTTGCCAAAAATCCCTAGCAGTCTGAATTTTTCCATAGAGATTTAAGACATGTAATTATGCCTCTAAGGTACTGGCCTGTGTTCAAGGAGGCCGGGAGACCTATTTCCTTAGCAGAAATACCCAGAGCTGTGCACTGGGTATTAAGCCTGTGATTCAGGCTTAATTACTTATCGTATTTTGGGAGGGCAACACTGTGTCACTGTTTGGCAAGGATGCACTAATTTTTAGGTAGGGGACATAGTTGGCTGCCAGCTCTGCAGTCTCCTTAAGGCACAGCTCATTCATTTGGAGAGGGATAAAACAAATAGGACCCTTTAATAAGGACTTTAAAATCTTATGAGAGTAGTAAAGTATATTCTTCTAACAGGCTCCTAAAACACTCCTGTGAAATACAGTAATAGGAACCAACCTCTCTATAATAGTCTAGTGGGAGCTATGCACTTGTTTGGTTTTTGTTTTAAATTCCCTCCAAGTTCTGTGAAATCCCCTCTTTCCTGTAGCATTTCTCTAATAACAGAATCACCACCATTGGAGCTCACCAGAAGAGGTAGGTCAGATCACTCTGACCTTCTAGCCGCCATAACACAGGGTTGGGCGAAGGAATGTCTTTAGCACCATCTGCTTACCATCACTTTAGCACTCATACATGACCAAGCATCGCCAAACACTGGACAGTCCTTTAAAAGCAGAGGGATGGCCACTAGATACATTATTCTCTCTCCTTCTTATACAGAATAAGATTAAACTGCTTTCCTATCTGCCTGCACATCCATGGAAGAAGGAAGCAGTCTGTCTTGCCTTTGGGGACCAATCGTTGATGGCTCAGTTGACGGTGATGTCCCACTGTCAAGTGACTGGGAAGTTTGCTTGGGTGTGTCTTTCATCACTGGGCTCACCCACTGCAAACCAAAGCAGTTTCCTTTCCTTATTAATGAATGTAAGCTGCATGAATATAGCAGCTGATAGCAGCCAATTGATTTAGTTTGCTTGGTACAAGGTGCTCTATGGAAACTTCCCTGTCTCTTCCTTCTGGCAGGCCTCGATCCCAATCTAACAATAGTCACAATTACAATGTAAACCTCTGCCTCGCTTGAGGATATCCTAGCCATTCTGACAAACTGAGAGCTGATTTTATAGGACATGCAATTATATGTTTTGTTCCTTTCAGTGAAATACCCTTGACACATTCATCAAATCAGTTTAGGGCTTGACCCTTTAGGAGCAAAAAGAATTGCACAATAGTTTCTGGAGTTAGCCTTTTAAAAATATCTTTGGTCTGTGCAAAATCAGAGTATCTTGATAAATCATTAAAAAAAAAAAAAAAACAAACAACAAAACATAATATCCCTTTTAGATTGAGGAGGTCCCAGGTGAATTCACTCAGGATGATTTGGCTGAAGATGATGTCATGTTGCTGGATGCTTGGGAGCAGGTAAGCTGTGTACGTGACCACTGCTTTTGTGGTAACAAGGATAATATATTCTTAACCACTTAGATCATAAGATGAGAGGAAAAATCATCTTTGTGAGAACGGAAGAGGTTTTGTTTTCTTTAAATTATACCAGAAGGAGCTATATTTTTTGAGCTATATGATGTGCTAGTGTGAACATACATGATTGAATTTCCAAGCATAATGTGAGACCGTGGTGGGCACTTCCCATTAAAACCAATGGAGGCTGCAAGAGTATAAGCCCTGGCAGTGTTCTGAAAGGCTCTCAATAATGTTCTTGAGTTTATCAATAAAATTTATTGATTTTAAAAAAGACAGTTATTGCATAAAAGGTATTCAGAAGCCACAAAATCCACATAGCAGCAGCACCTACAAAAAGTCTTACTAGAGAAGGGGACAAACACTAGACCCTTACACAGATTTCTTCAGAAGAACTGGGTGAAGAGTGACAGAAACAATCTCCATCATTCTCCCAGGTTCACTGAAAACTGAAAATGTTGAGGCCTTTTTGGATGACAGGCAAACTCACTGCAGGTGCGGAGGGCACATCTGTTTCTCATAGTACATTCTCTCTACTCTTCCTCTCCCCTTGGAGGGAAAGGGGGAGGAGGCTACAGATCCCACGCTTTAGTTGTCTTCTTCAGCCTAACCCTTAAGGAAAAAAAAGGCTGACGTTTTTGGAAATGAGAAGGAACATCCAAGGTCCATGGGGGAAGGAGTGATGGGGGAAGGTGAGTGGAAGAGCTGGATGGAAAGTGGTTGGGGCATACTGACTCAGGTAAGAAGTCCAGGATGTGTAACTGGTTTTCAAAAGGATCCTTGACAGAAAAAAAAAAAAAGTGTGGGGACTGCAGATCAAAGCTCTGGTGTTTGGGTTGGTTATTCAGTGGGTTATCTAGCAGTTACCCTGGGTAGCATTGATCACAGGGCAGAAGCGTTGATGCGCACGCAGAGCTCAAACCAGAGACAGCTCCTGTTCAGCGTTTCTGCGTGTACCTAAAGAGTATTTTCCTTGGCAAACTGTAAAAGATATAATGGGAAAAGTAATTAGAGTTCCTTTCATCAGAGTCCATAAATTTCTGGCCTTCCAGTGTCAAGAGAGCAGTGAGATTTCAGAGGATAGAACTACAGTTTCTCACAAGGGAAAAAAAAAATCATGGATTGTGAGATTGTTTGTGAGAGCCGTGTACCTCTGCAGTCTTTTCATAGTGTATATTCTTTCTCTTGGTGGAATCAACTATTTTGTACTTCACCTGCTGTACACAACATACTTATAACAACATGGGAGCTGTATCTTCGTCTCCTCTCTTTGCAGGTTTTTGTCTGGATTGGGAAGGATGCTAATGAAACTGAGCAACAGGAATCTGTTAAATCTGGTAAATCAAATCAATTTGGCAGAAATCTGAATGAAGTAGCATCAATATTACTTAAAGAAGTGAAAAAATTATCAGAAGAAATCTAGTTACGTTTACAGTGTTTAAAAGGGTTATTAGCTTATTAGGATTTAATCCTGGAGAAGATTATTTTCTCCTTTAAATGTGCATTAAAACTCCTTGTATCTTTCTTATCTGTAAGTTTAAGAAGGGTAAAATTAATCAAGATAGCATTACTAGGCTGCAGAGCTTTTTAAAGAATATATAGGAGAGCTCCATGAAAAGAAACTGCACAGAAAAGAGAATTTAAAAGGCGATCCCTTCTTAGCTGTACCCTATGCTAATGTATATAGCCAAAGGAATGCCAACAAAGCCTCAAGTCCTTATGCTGCCACCCTTCACTGACTTAAATTTGGAGAAGGAGATTCCAATTGCAGAACAAATCAAGACAACTCAGGTGGAGCACACCTCCTTGAAAAATTGCATGTCATCTCTGGTGTGATTTCACATAGCTGAGCTGTTCTGACAAAGTTTGTGCTAAAAATGCTTGCAGATATTTCCCTGGAGCAGCTAGGGTTACCTAGCCGTGTTTCCGATATGTACTGATGTCACATTGAGATGTCAAGGGGAACTATACTGGCTTTTACGTAGGGAAATTGGGAATGAAGCTTGTGCATCTGCACAGCACCAGCAAATTCTTTCTCCTGTTCAAGAGCCAAAACCCAGCTGTACGGCAACAAACTGATCAGAGCAACAATCCCTCTGTTTTAACCTTGTGGAAAATTCCTTCACTGGCAGCTGGGAGAAATCAGATCATTTCATTGCCTTTGAAATAATTTAATGGAATACCGTATTATAGTAGCCCTGGGTTCTTTCACTAGGGCTTTTAATGTATTTTTATACCAAAGGAATGACCTAATATATGACGTTTCACTTCCTCTCTGTTTTTAGCCAAACGCTATATTGAAACAGATCCTTCAGGCAGAGATAAGGGGACCCCCATTGTAATCATGAAGCAGGGGCACGAACCTCCGACATTCACAGGCTGGTTCCTGGCTTGGGACTCCAACAAATGGAAGAACTGATCTATCCAAGGAGGCTCCAGCTTCAAGCCAAAGAATGATCAGAACCCAGCTACTTTCTAGTATTTTTAAGCATAAGCTTATGCAACAATATGATGCATTTGTTGTTACGCTTTCCCGAGCTTTGATGTATTTCTGTGAATAACCTAGAAATTCTTAGCACTGGAAAGGATAAATAATTGTAAACTGGTCACATGGGGTGAGTGGGGCTTTTCTTGTACTAAATATGGAAAGTGCTACCAATACTTTGTTTAATCTATTGATTCCTCAAACAGAAGCTGTGGATCAGTTTATTTTAATGTGCTAAGATGGGCCAAATTCTGCATTCACTTAAAAATCCAAACTAATGCCACAGAAATTCCTATAGAATAAGGTCAGCATAATATTGTGCAGAATTTGGCCTGCTAAAGGACCAAGTCTACATCTCTTGGAAGGGTAACACTGGACCTGATTTACTTACTAGGCCAAAATATTGCCACACTCACTCATGTAAAATTTCAGATGATGCCTGATCCAGGGTGGGAACTGTGTCTTCCAGAGGGTCAATAGTGATGGGTACTTTGAGAAAGCTGTGCTTAACATGTTTTTTTGTCTTGTTAGTACCTATATTTGGAGCTTCAGACTGAATGGCTGTAAGAATATGAAGTCGACAAAGATTTTTTTGAGGGACTGTCTAGCTCATTGCGGTGAATTTCTTTAGATTTATCTCTGTGAACGACCTCCAGATCCACCAGGTCTTTTTAACCAAAGCTCTTAGACACATTCTAGTGCAGTAGTGCTTTTAAGTAGAAGCAGAAGAAGCAACAGCTTCAAAAATAGGTACTCTGCCTTAACCAGATTGCCCTTAAGCCTTACTTTTCTCAGTTGCCTTACTCAGCAGTACTCGGTGCTTTTCCTGCATGCAGACTGCTCACATTGTCAGGTGGAGGATGTGTTTCTACTCATTTTCTATGCAGGTCATAGTCAAATACCAAGTACATCAAGCGCAAGGAAATCCCTTGTTTCAGTAGCATTCCACATCCCGGGAATTTGGAGTGTGAGTACGCACCATAGAATATGGCCTTCTCTTTTCTCTCAGACACAGTTCTTTGGGTTTTTTTTTTATTGTGGTGAATATAAGAGCATATTTTCAATGTGTTTTTATTTGTAATTTAGCCAGAAAAGTCTATGTAGGTCAGTGGGAAAAATTCTGCTTCAAATAATTAGTGCTGCTTTGATAGCTTATCCTATAATGCTTGTTTTAAACAATTTGTACAGCTGTAAATCATGTCAATGTGGCTTTTTAATGAAGGCATTTCAACGGTTTTATTATTCTTATAAGTTAGGTTGGAAAGTGAAATTTTAGACATTTTTGTATTTTTTTTAACTTGGTTGTGATTTTGAATGTGGGTAATGCAAAAGAGTGAATTTAGTCTGAGCTCATAATCAATATCAATGACAAAAGAATTGTGAAGCTCAGAGGTTAATTATTAGGAGTTTGTTAGCTTTAAACATTTGTTTAATCTCTGCTAATATAACTGGGCTGTATCTGAATGTAATTTCATTTAAAATAAAATTACAAAACCCAGTATTCTCTATGCCAAGCTGATCTTCCTCTCTCTGATGTATTGTTGCTCAGTGCTTCCACTGATGTCTAGCAAAACTTCCTAAAAAACCCAGTAGGTACCTTCCTTTTTAGATGAACAACACAATGAGAATGCAGTGTTTTTACTTTGGTGCCATTTTATCCAGTGCAGAGTTAACTTCCCAACAACCTGAAAGTTATAAACCTAACTGAAAATCAAAGAATTGGGTGCTTAGTAACTTGTGATTTCATCTTTAAGAAAAACTACCATGGTTGTTATCAAACTCTGTGGCTTCGTAACTTCCTGCTTGCAAAAATGATTGACTATAGAAACGACTGCTTTATGAAACAGGAGGAAATAAAGGGTAGGTCTGTCTTTTTATTTGTGAGAGTGGATAAGGAGATATCCTTCTCCTGCTGGAAGGAGCACAAAGACCTTTTCAGTCCCTCAGCTACGGCACTTCATGCAGCCACTGAGCAGCCTGTAATTATCTGATGGTTGTCTTTGACACATACATATGATTCTTCTCATTTTTTAAAAATAACAGTTATAGTAGCTTCTTAACCAAGGATTAGACAAGATTTGCCCTCCTTGTACATAAACATCTTCCAGAACACTGAGGGCTCTGAACTGGCACAGTCTGCCAGCATATTCTACAGCACTGTGAAAGCCTCTTTTCAGTTCCCTCGCTCAAGACAGAGGAGCTTTTGTGGTCTCCTGGCCGGGGCATTTGGGTTTACAATCCATTGTCCTGGCACGTTGATTACTGATGTTGAGAAGAGCATTGAGAGCTCATAACGGAACACTCTTCTCAACTGGGCTTTAAGCACAACAGCTGCTAGCAACATTGTTCTTGGGTTTACTTACTCCGAGGAAGTTTATTTTTCATACATATATCTACAGTACACACAAAAATGTATTTCTTTCTCTCTGAAGAAGAAGAGAGAGAGGGAGGGAGGACAGACAGGATAGACTATAAGTGCCTGGAAATATTAACGATTAAGCTGTTTTCCAGAAAATATTTAAGCATATAACTTTATGAATACACATAGCAATCCTATCTGCCTTGTTTTCTGAATAAATAGAAAAAATCATGCAGATGTATACAGTACAGTCAAGTTCAGTCACAAATAAGCTATATCTTGCATTATTATCACACAGTAATAGTATGTTCACTCTATTTATACTGGCAAAATTAGACCCTGAATTAGCAGTTTCATTATGCTACCAAACAGCAAGCATTCCTGTGTTCTATTGGTTGTAAATACAGCATCATTTTTCATCTTTTTTTTTTTTACAGAAAGATGTTAGGAATCCTTAGAGCCAACAGGACATCATAACACTATCTAGTATTGGTAGTTTACATAAAATAGCATAATTTTAGAATATAACTACAGGTTGAACAGAGGAGAGGAGCCAGGCTCTGGGTTCACTGCTCTAAATATCCATTTTGACCATAGCACACAGTGCTCTATTGTAGCAGATCTGCTTTAAATGATTATGTTAAATGTAGCTAAATTCAACTGAACAGTTTGATCTCTTGCCAGTTCAGACTCACATAGGCTTCATCTGCAACAAGAAGAAAATGATGAAGATGGCAGACAGTGGGACGGCAGTACTATCCCTCACAGGAGAATTAAGGAATCGTACAGAAAATATTTTGCTCACTGGACTATAGCAGGAGGTGCTCTCAGACATCTCTATAGCCTGCAGGAACACTTCTTGTTACAAACTTTGTGATCTTCTTGTCTTCATTTTTACTGGATCTAAAGAGGCTAAAAAAAAAAAAAAAAGCCAAAACAAGCCTATTATTTTCCATGGACTAAAGTTGCTCTTCAGAGTCCACTTCTCTATAGGAAAGCTTGAAAAAAACCTTCAAACTTTGCTTTAGAATACAGTTTCTTCCTCAGCATCCCACTGAGGTTGTGCCTTTATGGCTTAATTGAGCCAAATGTAAGTATATAAGACAAAAAAAAATTATTATAAAACCCGAGTTATATAATACTTTAACGTGCTGACTTTCCAAATTCTTGCTTTTTGTTTTTTAAAGACAATAATTTTGTCTTTATATAAAGAAATAGTACACTTCTCCATTCTTATGGCTAGGACTTTTGCTGCTAAAAACAAAGGAACTTCTGATTTAATTGAAAACACAATCAGATCTTTAATCCACTACACATCCTTCATGTCTCATTACATCCTCTCTAGACTGGCCTAAAGTTACTTTGACCTCCTCTGACTATTAACACATTACCTTATGCTAAAAATCAATAAACTACACTCACTTCAATTAAAGCTTCCAAGGTGCAAGATGGAGAAGGGCAGACCAATGGGAATTGTGAGGCCCACCATGCCATAAAATTAGTCAATGACTGTCTGGCCCTTCTCCCCCTGCATGTCATTTTCCACTTGACATTAAAGCATATTTGCATTAAAGGAGGAAAAAAAAAAACCAAAATCTGTGCCTACAGAACAGACCACATAATATGATTTTTATTTTTCTTCTAAATAATAGCAAACTGAGTTATTCCAGGGGAACAGATAGAAGGGGAATCAGTCTGTACCAAGCTTCTTCCTAAATGCACCCACACTTCCATTCTGTTAGCACCCTCTCCTCAAAAGGATGCTGCGAGCGTACCAAGATCCTCAAGATTTCACCTTTTACCGCCACATTTAATCACTCAGCAGTGAAACATGGGCCCCCACACACGTGAAGTGAAAGCATCAAGTGAAAACATTAATTTTTATTGTTTGGTAGACTACAGATCATTTGCTCAGAAAACGACCTGGATGGGGGCAGGTGGGGCCAGTGAAGATATGTGCAACATTTCTTTGGGCATGTATCAGGAAATCAAGCAGTGAGGCTGGGACAATCCGAACAGTATCCCACCACAAGGCCCAGAGATAGGCACGTTTGCTTTAGCAGCAATAATGCTTTGATTATTCTAACAAAGCGTCTTGACCACTGCTAGAAGGGCACAGCTCTCCCTGCTGCTCTTTAACAGACTTCACAGAGGTGACTCAGGGTGATTTCACAGCAGTTGGCAATACCACCTGAATGCATTCAGGTGATTTTAACATCATTTACCTGACAGTTCACCATGCTTTGTGTTCTCTGATGCCCTTCCTACAGAAGAACCAGCTATAGCAACAATCCTGATTGAAACAGACCATTGCTAGGAGGAACCTAAGAAAAATTTCCCTCAGGACTTAGATTTTTAGAGGTGGCTCAGGAAGGTCACAGGTTTCCTGTAACAGGCACGGCAGCACAGCTCAGTGGGGCTGTAGGTGTCTTTGCTGGTGCCAAAGATTGCTGTCCTTCCCACTGCTAACCAGCTCCTCTCCTACTGGACTTGGGCGAGAAGTTAGTTGTTGTAGCAAGGAGAAGAGACAGGAGTGGCAGTGAATGTCTTATCAGCAAGGACAACAGGCAAGAAGCCCACTCCAACAATCCCCTAGTTTCTTGCTAGGTAGCCCCAGTCAACAGTAGGTATCTTACACACTTTCTGCTGCCAGACTCTGTCCCATCCTTAGCATTTGCAGATGCACTCCAGCATCTGCTAA